AGCAGAATTAAGTTAATTTCCACTGGTCCATACTCTTGAAAGATCCACTGTCAGAACAATAACCTTGAACAAACTGTAGGTCTTTGAGTACAAATTTTGGTTGCTCTGATTCTGCACTCAACTTAAGTACTGCACTGAATTTTATGATATATAACTGAGTGGTACTTTAAGGGCATGGAAATATCCAAGGGCTCAAAGGCATCTGTCTGAACTGATGTGTTGTTCAAAGGTCTAGAATCTTGCCCTTCTTCTGTCACCTATTAACAGTGAGACCTTGAGCACAGCACTGTTCTCTGAATATGCTTTCTTCCCTGCAATCAGTGCTGAATAAAATAATCTCAAAGAGTTTATCCTATCTTCATACTCACGAAACTGTGGTTCTCTAATAGACATGGAGGGTGTGAAGAATGACGTGCATTTGTACAGATGTTGGCACATCCTGGAATATGCTTTGTTGGAGCAAATTCTTGCCATCAGATTTCTTTCAAATGGATGAATATATGAATATATCATGCTTATTTGCATTCACTGCTTTTGCTGAAAATCAGCAGCTCAATACTCACTTGCATCACTAAAATAGACCCTTTCATCAGCCTGTGAAATTTTCATGGGCTTGCATATGAGTGGCCATTTTATATATACATGTGTGTGTGCGTGTGTGTGTGTGTCTGTGAGTGAGTCTGTGTATTTAATCCACACAACTTATTTTTGATGTTAACAGAATAGTGGGATGAGATGATTTGTCGGAGTGTTTATGTCTCAATGTGTGCCAACTATTCACCTTGTGACACTGGCAAGACATCTAATCCCACTGAGCTTCTGATAGAGGTACTGGTCAAGGTCAGCACTGCATGCTCACATGGTAATTACAAATATTAATTTTACTGAAACTGATGAGAAAAGTCTGAAGCCTGAAAATCTTATGAAGTTTAAACTGTCACTGTCACTGCCCTCCCGTTGTTCATTGATTTTACTAGAGTGGGCCCAGTAACGTCTCCGGTTTTTTTTGAGACTTGTTGTTACTGTGTTTGGCATATCAAATATGTCACGCGTAGCTTGCCGGGTTTTGCCGTGTGGGCAAGATACTCTCGGTAGCTTGCCGGGCTCTCCGAGAGGGGCAGAGGAATCGAACCCGGCTCTGCCAGGCTGGCTGCGAGCAAGGCAAACACTCTACAGCTGTGCTATTATTATTAATTACTATTATTATTATTATGACTACTACTACTACTTCAAATTCACAAATGGCAGAGTCAGTAGATTTAAGTTTTTCTTCCCTTTTTAATGCACAGGGTTTCAGTCTGCAGGTTGACTTTAGGTTGACCTTGCGACCACACACTACTCGATAGCACAGCGGTAGGGTGTTTGCCTTGCATGCAGCCAACATGGCCCACCCAAGTTCGATTCCTCCGCCCCTCTCGGAGAGCCCGGCAAGCTACCGAGAGTATCTCGCCCGCACGGCAGAGCCTGGCAAGCTCCCCGTGACGTATTCGATATGCCAGGCACAGTAACAACAAAGTCTCCAATGGAGACGTTACTGGGCCTGCTCGAGCAAATCGATGACCAACTGGAGGGCCTTTACTTTACTTACTTTAGGGTTTCAGTCAGCATCGTCAGAATATAAGCAAAGTACAAAGATTTGTTTTCAGCTTCTGAAGTTCCCATGAGAATGATTCCCAGCAGTAAAAGTCACTAAAAACAGTTTGTGAGGTCACCTGCTCTTAGCAACCAAGAGTTGGGAGAGAAGGATCTATCCCGGAATTCACCCAGAAGGTTGATCTCGTACCATCCCTACAGCCACAAGAGACAATTTTGTTCCTGGAATAAGAAGAGCCCTGAGCCTTTGCTTGCTCTGGAGAATAGCAACTCTGCTCATTTCTTCAGAGTATATATTAGTCACATGGTTCTTCTGGTTATAAGGGAGAGTGAAAATCTTATCATAAGGGCAAAAACTGCAAATTATTGTCATAAGGCAAAACACACACACACAATCTTTAAAACTCTTTTATTTCTCCCATAAAGAGTCATTTCTTCCACAGTGCAGCAAGCCCACAGAGCAACATTTTATGTGCTTTCTTCCCTCAAGTCAATCCCTTAGAAAAAAATGACAAATGAAAGACAACACATACACACACAGCACATGAGTGTCCTGGGGTAATTTCAGCATGCTTCTGTTTTCAGATTGTGAAAAAAACTTTTGCATTCCGCTTTCTTCAAAGAGATTATTGAGAAAATACTATAGAAAGCCAATTGACAGCTGCTTTCCTATTCTTACAGAACACTTGAAAGAAACTAGATAAAGCGACAGTGAAGGAAATGCAAAGTGTTCCAAGACTAGAAGGGTTTGCGAAAGGTCTGCTTTCATTTCCTTATTAACTAAGGCTCTATTTTCCTCTTTGCCCTCCTGAGAAATACTGCTACTCAATGCCAGTGTCTGGGTGGGAGCAAGCAAGGCAGGTGTGGAAGGGCCAGGCTGAAGGCTGGACTAACACAGCATAAACTGGCAAGTGACCATGCATACTGCGAGAAAATTCCAGGGATAGAGGCTGTTGTTATAGAAACCAGAGTCTTTCTGGGAGCACACAGGTAGAGGCAACAGGTCTTTGAGAACATAGAGCAGAGAGTAAGACCTGGAACCATGCCATAGTATTTGGCACAGGCTTGCAGGCAGACCTGTGCATGGTGCAACTGAGCATGACAGCCAAGCGCAAAAGAGGGACCCAAGGGTGAAACCCTGTCCTTCCTGTCTCCAGGCAGATGTCAGCTGGCAGGTGCACCCTGCTCTCTTCTCAGTTGGGCGGAGCTTTGCAGGTGCTAATGATTACAGCCAGCAAAGGTTAGATCTTCTGGGAACTGCTTAACAGTCCTAATGTCAGTTACTTGTGGTTTATCATTTCTCTTCAGCAAATTAATAGAGTTTCATCGAAAGCAAGGTAAAGCATGGATCCACTTGAGCTCTTACTCTTTCCTGCTCTCAATCTCTCTCTCTCTCTCTCTCTCTCTCTCTCTCTCTCTCTCTCGCACACACACACACACACACACACACACACACATACACACACACATTCATATACTGACACAGCAACATTAAATACAGACACATCATAAACTCACTCTCACAGAATGCATCTTCTCCCATGGACATTCAGACTTCTGAGGTTAGAGAATAGAGCTTCACTGTGGTTTTAAACAGCTAGCAAAGGGACATTCTTTTTGGAGTCGGGTGATTACCAAGTGCACAAGAATTTATGTTTGATGTAATAAAGTTTCAGTTTTTCTAAGAATAGTTAGACCATTTTGGTTGACTTTCTGGAAACTTCCATGAGACTTTTTATGATAGTTTCAAAATAACTTTCCAAGGGATCCTGAGGTTGACACTGATCACTCACTAGCTTGTCTAGGATAAAAATGAATGAAATGTTTTCCTGAGCAGACAGGAAGAAGGCAGTCCAGGTAGCCCATTTTAAGGTGAACCCTTTTCAGTTCTGTATCTCTGGACCAAAAAATTGTAACTTCAACTGTCAGAAAGACTCCACCAATTCAGACATTCCATGTTAGAAATTCCTGGCATCATTCTTTAACCTGTGACTTTTAAAAAAATCAAATATTACTGATTGCATATTATTGACTTCAACTTAAATGAAAATTGTGTAGAATATTATTAATTAATCTTCACACATTGGTATATTCCACAAATAGCATAGTTCCAGAGTAAATTCCCACACCCTCTTTTTAAAATTTTTTTTAATCACCATGAGATACAGTTACAAAGCTTCCTGTTTGAATTTCAATCATACAATGATCGATCACCCAACCCCCCAACCCTCCACCAGTGCACATCTTCCACAACCAAGGTCCCTCCCATCTCACCCCTCCCCCTGCCTCTATGGCAAACAATCTCCTCCATACTCTCTTTTCTATTACTTGCTATAAATCGCATAAGATGCAGCGTGGCCATGAGAGTGGCTGCATACTCCTGGAATTCTAAAATTTTAGATAGGATCTGAAGAAATCTCTGCTACGAGCTGCTTGGTTCAGAGATTCTTTTGTGTGTCTCTGGATCGTGGCCATTAAGGAGCTTAAGTAGCAGCCAGAGGCATGGCCTCCAGGGTCCCAAGGGGATGGGGGATGAAAAGGACCAGCCCATCTCCTATCCCTTGGGGCTGGAGTTTGCCATCACTTAACTTGCATACCTGCACTTCTCATTGGGTTCTGGAAGTTGGCATTCATCGGAATTTTTAGGGGGCAGGTGGAGGGACAACGCCTGTCCCCATCTAAGGCACCCTGATGAAGTTGGCCTGGCTTAAAGTCCCACACATTCTTCTTCTTTTTTTTAAATGTTTAGTTTTATTTATTTATTTTTAATTTTATTGAATCACTGTGAGATAGTTACAAGCTTTCATGTTTGGTTTATAGTCACACAATGATCAAACACCCATCCCTCCACCATTGCATTGGTGGTGGGAAAGTCCCACACCTTCTTAACAGAGAACTTCTCTATAAGTAAACATCTATCCAGTTACATTCCAATCTCATCTTTCACCATACTGTTCTATTCCTTACTATTTATGTCTGAGCAAATTTATACTGATGGAGCAAATATACTGCTATATAGTCACCCACATTATTTTAATTGAATTCAGGAAAGTTTATTTTCCAACTTTCAAGGCAACAAAAGCCATTTTATAAGCTTTGCCCAATAGAATGTGAACAGAGGTGATGGGGACCACTTCCATTATTGCATGGAATACAGCTCCTCATCTATCCCACTGAAAACACTACCTGATTGTGACACAGTGTTACTCCAGTGAGATTTGAAATCACTTATTATAGCATTCAGACTTTCTTAGGTCAGATTTAAAATACTAAACTTGAAGAATTCTTGTTTACTCTCTGTACCTAGCTCAAAGTTAAGACTTTGAGCATGTTTCTTGTTTATACTATACATATCAGGTTGCTCTAATCAATACAATTCCTATTGTCTGGTGTGTCGAGAATGATTTCCTGCATGTAATGCTGGATTTCTTTGTTCAGTGCTTGGCATAGGAGAGATTTTTAAATAGTTCTTAGCTCCATGATGTACAGTCCCTTTCATTACTGTTGGAGATCAAGGCAGGCCTTGAGTCTGTGCATATTCCAACAGCTTCTCAAAGTCCTCTGGACAATGACTGAGGACACAAACCATGCAGGAAACAGTAAAAAATAAACTAATTCAATAATGCTTAATATTTTAGTGCACGTAAAATGAACAAATGCTCCCTAAATTTTAAAATTTAAATTTTTAAATCCCTCTGATTCTTCCTGAGTCCTCCGCCCCTCTCGGAGAGCCCGGCAAGTTACCGAGAGTATTTGATATGCCAGACACAGTAACAACAAAGTCTCCAATGGAGACGTTACTGGGCCCGCTCGAGCAAATCGACGATCAACGGGAGGGCCTTTACCTTTACCTTTTACCTTCCTGAGTCACACAATCAAATGCACTTAAAACTCAGACTTACCTGTTCCCTTCTCGGTGTTCTAGTCACATAGACTGCATGCTCACCTACAAGGCATCAGCCTTCCAGATCCTTCCTTGTTTGAAAATACTTTTTATGCTTTAGATATTTCTATCCATTGTCAACATCGGTGGAGCAGAGGACAAGTTCCAGGTACCAAGGCGGTCATTGACTGTCCTCTCTTTGGCACAATTGGCTTGAGAATAATTCATTTATTATTACATATTAGAGAGAAGAGATAGTAGATACTAATAGAAGAGGCCTAAGATTAGCTTACTGAGCCAAATATTACTACAGACACTTGCTGAGTGGAGTCAAACAGATTGCAGCCTCTCTTGGTCTATGTTCTTTGTTTTCTCACCTATGCTATAAAGATATTACTTTTCTCTGGCTAACTTTTTTTAAGTTTTTGGGGTCACACCTGGTGATGCTCAGGGGTTACTCTTGACTCTACACTCAGGAATTACTCCTGGCAGTCTTGGGTGACTATATGGGATGCTGTGAATTGAACCTGGGTTGGCCACATGCAAGGCAAATGCCTACCTGCTGTGATACCACACCAGCCCCTCTATGGCTAACTTGATATGGTTTTTCAATATTAAAGAACAAAACGGATACTCTATGTAGCATGTAAACATTACTTTGGGGGAAAATACAAGAAATTATTTAAAGAAAACTTGTACTTGTAGTTCTTTGTTATGGACTTAGCAGATCTCTGCTATCAAATGGATGTTATTTTCTTGGGGTTTATCTGATGTTATTCTGTCTCCCCGTGACTTATTCAATATGCCAAACACAGTAACAACAAAGTCTCACAATGGAGATGTTACTGGGCCCACTCGAGAAAATCGATGAACAACGAGAGGACAGCGACAGTGACAGTGACAGCATACGTGGAGGATTGGGACACTGTGATTTATGAGGGACTATGCATCAACATTTTCCTGGTTAGTTTGCCAAACTGGAGATTGTGGCCAGTTCCAATGACTACAAAAAAAGCTTAGGGTTATGTGACAAACAATTACAATAATGGTTGTATAGTTCCATGTCTGGGAATTCATCCTAGGTGTAGTTAGAGGTAAGAGTAACATGTGTAGAGTTTATTTATTAATTGTATAGAAAAATGTTAGGAGTACCATGATTTGCACCATAAGGCATGCTGGCTAAATCAAAGGTAAGTCCTCTAGGCAAGACAGGTAGCTTGGGAAACCATGATATATTGATATGGAAAATTCCACTAGAAATTTATGTAAATAGAAAAATGTTCAAGATCAGTGTTTTAAAAACACAATTTCGCTTGTGTCAAATTTTTAACAATCCATTTGTTTGGGTAGACATATGATATCAGATATTAAAATGCTGCTATTCATATTTGCTTCTGAAGAAGAGAATGGAATGAATAAAGTATAGACAATGAAATGGTCATTTGTGTCTTTTGGTGGAGGACTCAGCTGGTAGTGTGATGGACCTGAGGTAACGGGGACTGAACCTGAGTTCCCATATGCAAAGCATAGTTTCAATCCTTTGAACTATCTTCCCAGACCCTATTTGTGCCTTTTTAAACTTAAAACCACATGACTAAATGGTTCCAAGAAAAACAAAACAAAATCCAAAGAAAGATTAGACTTAGTAAATTTACATATGTATAAATATATATAGTAATTGAAACAAAATATATATCACATAAATTTTTATCACTCTACAAGCCATTTTGCAAGTCACAATTTGTTGTGAGAAGTTACTGGTGCCTACTCGAGCAAATCGATGAACAACTGAGGACAGTGCTACAGTGCTAAGCCATTCTAAGTGCATCATTCAGTAGCATATTTTCACATTGTTGTGAAACCTTGTCATCGACCATTTCAGAGTTTTAGATCCAAAACTGCTGCAAATATCTGCAAAGGCAAAGACTTGTGCTTCCCTTCCCAGGAGTGCAAAGTATTCAGTGGAAATTTTCTGACGGCTTCTCAATAGATCACTCCCCTTCCCCAAAGGTAGGTGAATGACTACAGGGACTGATTAATGAACTGAAGAGAGAAAGACTGAAGTTCAGTCTTTCCAACCAGGAAACTTATTTAGGCAGATGCTAATCCTTACAGGGAGGCCTACAGTTCTGGGAAAGTGAGGTCAACTCGGGAATAAGGGATAGGAAGCTCATTTGGTCATGGCTCAGAATGGTCTGCTTTAATTTATCTAAGACTGACTTATTCATCAGCCTCAGAGGGAAGGAGTTGGCTTCAATGCTCTGAGGAAATTAGTTCCTTACAGCCCAAGGTTGAAAGCAGCTAATCCCTGGGATCCAGCCTCCTGAGAAGACCCGGCCGGAGAAAGGTGGTATTTCCTCAGTGCGAATGAGCTTTGTGCTAGTTGCCAAAATATACAACTATCAAGGTAAGGTCTGTACATCTTCTTGGTTATGCTGGGTCTCCCAGTTACAAAGCCTGAGCAAGCAAGAGAGGGCTATATCCAAACTTCTGTTATGCCAGAATTCAGGTAGTACTCTGACCATTAACTTCTCTTAAACCTTGATGTTTGTTTGCTTGAGTTTTTTTATTATTTGTTTGTTTAACAATTTTTGAGATAACTTTGGTTTATAGCATCCTGTAAATTTCAGATACACAACTTTCTACACTAAGACCTCACTTAATGTTGGTGAAAGCATCTTAGAAACTCCCAAAATGAAGAATAACAAAACCGGATTTCTTACTAGCATAGTTTTGTTCAGTACCAGGCAGGACTTTTTTCTCATCAACCATTTCAACTAATTACATTGAATGAAATGACATTGAGGGCATGTTGCAATTTCAACAACTTCCTGCACTACTGCATGCTCACCACCAAAGGATGTGTCTCTATCCTTTACAAGCAAATTGACATTTATTTCTCATCTTGTCCTCCCACCATTCAACCTCTGCTCTGAAAACTACCAATTTGTTCTTTGTACCTATGAGCTAGGGATGTGTGTGTGTGTGTGTGTGTGTGTGTGTGTGTGTGTGCTTCTTTAGTAATATCGTTTTATAATTTACAACTCACTAGTCACCTTTGTCTCCTGTAATTTGATATGTGACCTCCCTGATGACCTTAGTCTGCCCTATACAGCAGTGGTGGTCACTGAAGACCACTGACCTGCCTTTGTATTTTCCCCAGGGAACATTACCTCACAAAGCTCAGGTCTCAACTGCATGGTCTCTTGTCTTGACCTGTATTAAAATACCTAAGGCATTGCCATTGACAATAATCCTGATGATGTTTTATTTTTTATTTTATTTCAGATCTCTGTGTCTAAAACTATCCATTCCATGTCTCTCTGAATTTATTATGACTGACTTCAAACCTCAGCAGCTTTCTTTAAAATGCCAAACCAGTACTTTCTTTTCCCCCTGTGGTGTTCCTCCATGTTAGTTCTGAGATTCCTTTCTGAGGACTCTAATGTGTAATACGTAAACACAGCTTTTCCTTGCAAAGTCATCCTCCCCCTCCCTCTCCATGGTGTGAGAGGCAGTTGCTCTGTGACCCAGGTTTTCTCCTATGATGCTTCTACCACTCTGATACCAGAAAAAGACTCTCTTCTGTCCTTTTTTACCATGACCCAAATGTGTCGCAGGTTCACCACCTATTCTTTTTACCTACCAACTGGGTTAGGTTGAACTTGACTCAAGTTTGAAAGAAGTGTAAGCAGAGAATTTACTATAAAATATGATTTCTCTGAACCTACAGGTCAACTTACTGCCATTCAGTTGCAAAAATGTTAATCTGTCTACATAGAAGTCACTCCTACTCACCCCAATACTCAAGTATGACCAAACCCATCACCAGCTGTCTACTTAAAGAAGGCAGTTTCTCAACTATGAACAACTTTGTAACTGTATATTTAAATTTTTTTTAATTAAAAAGACAGTGGTCCTGGGCACTTCAGTTCTGGTGGAGTGTAGTAAATTTGTGTATTGATACCATAAAATTTACCATTACTGTAAATACCTGAACTATAATAATAAATTAATAAATTAAATCTTAAAAACAAAGAACAAAGCAGTTTCTCCTCTTTTCCATTCTGAGGTCTATCTTCTCAGTTTTTATATCTTGGACTGGAATGAACTTCTTTCCAGAGTGAGTGACACTGTTGAATTTCACTCATTTCAGGAGAAACACCTTTAGAGCATTACCTCTGGCAACTACATCACAACACAACAGTCTGATAGTGAGACTTTTTAGACTAATTAGTATTCAATAAAACTATGGTCGGATAGCAGAGGTCCAAGGTTAAATATTTTTAAAGCCAAACTCGTTCCCTTGACAAGCTGAAGTCATTGTCTGCTTTCCATTTCCTCCTGGACACAGTGACTGAACAAGAACATACTCATCTCACTAGAACATCTGTGTCTGCCAGCAGGATTAAGAAAAGATTTCTCTCTTCAGCATGTATGTGCAGATGCAACTTTTTCTGTGCCATCAATAAAGTGGTTCCTGTGTTACGGAGAGAGAGAGTAAAAGAGAATGTGACCACCACAGAGGCAGGGGTGGGGGATAGGGGGTGGCAGGAGGGATACTGGAAACATTGGTGGCAGAGAATGGGCATTGGTGGAGGGATGAGTACTTAATCATTGTATGACTGAGATGTAATCATGAAAGTTTGTAAGTCTGTAACTGTATACCTCACAGTGATTCATTAAAAATAAAAATAAAAACTCAAAAAAAAAAATAGA